TATAAAAGAAAGAGACTCTTATACTAGCCCAAATCTACCTCAACTCTTGACTTCCTTGTGGGAGTCATAAATCAGTAAAGATCCCAATTTACTTTGATACCACTTGTCACGGGTCCATGTTTTGAATCTAAAAGACATGCTAGCTAGGTGGTAAAAGACACATATTTATATACTCAAAATCTATCACATCTCTTACTAGTATGAAATTTGTGACATTAATTAAGAAAATGAAAAGAACAAATATAAGATAGGACTAACAATAGCAATGAGAAAACCGATTATGTATTTTTCTTGATAGGCAAGATAATCATAATATTTATGGCATTTCTCTTGGCAATTTTACCAGTTCCTAACATTTCTTTTCAACAATTAGGGGTAACTTGGAAACAGTAAGTCTCTATATTACAATTTTTTGTTTCCTGTCCTTAAAATGGAAGCGAAAATTTGTAAATTTTATTTCCACTTACCATTTTCTCATGCACCCACGTCTCTTATTCCTACCGAATTAAGGACGATGCAAAGTGTGATATCGATCAAGCAAAGGTATATTCCCAACTAGCTTAATGGAGCATTTTGATGGTCCCTCTATATTATAACTAGATAGTGCAAAATTCGAGATGGTGGAAAACAGCCTTTTTAACTTCAAAATAGAATCCGCCTCTTTTTTTTGTCAAGGTAATAGAATCAGCCTTTTACTTTTTAAGAATACAAGCAAGATGGGAATGTCTTATAAATGAAGCCAGCCATACATATTGGACAATATATATAAATTATGTATCAAAAGTCTTAAATGGCACTCAACTCCCCTACCCAAAATAAAGTAGAATATTAATGGTACGTATTATTAGTTTGTTTGTTTTATTTACACTTGATAACACTTGATACGGTCAAATTATGTTATGGTATAAGGATAATACAATAATATCATTTCGCAACTTATCTAAATCATAATGCGGTCAACATGTAAGTGATGAGCTCGAGAAAGATCATTGTAATCAGAGCATATCAGCCACTTAAGTAAACTTTAAGCACCAAAGAATTAAAATTTAATGACTACTTCATGAAAACTTATGTAGACAGGTAGTGGAAGAGGGAGGAATATTAGACTTCATTTCATTTTTTTAATTTAAATCACACCAAACCCTTTTAAGTCTTGATATGAAACTCAATTTAAATGTGTTATTATAAATTAAAACAATTATGAATTTAATGAATCAAATCCTTTGAGCAAACTTTAAGCCTTTGTTTTCTTAAGGGTTATCATTTGAGGAAGTTTATAAGGGAAGAACAGATTTGATACTTTTTTATTGGAAAGAGACTTTGAATCTTAAATATTCAATCCTTTTAAGAATCAATGACATTAATTAGATCAATTAGTCTTAGTGGTTATCATAATTAAGTTAAAAGTCATACTACTTGTTCATCACCTTAATTTGTTCCAAATATTTATATTCTTTGATATAGCATGTGGTTATTGGATATATTCAGATGTAGTGTCTATTAATTCATGAGTAAATCTCAATTAAATCATAAATGAGATATTACAATGAAATCAATAATATGCTGTCACACCAAGTAAGATAAAAGTGTTGAAAAAAAAAAAGGTAAGATAAAAAGTATTTTCCTTGAGCATATAAATAGAGTATAAAAATATTATATGGTTTTCCTCCTTCTAGCGTGATTTAATTTCCTTTCATCCCACAGTATTAACAAGCCAATTGCGACACAGTATCACCTCTTGAGAATTAATTTTATGCTTTGTGGATGCCGAATCAAAGGTTGTTTAGAAATTAAACTTGTCGATATATATCACGAAGATCTAGCAATGGGGGGCGCTACTAGTTCAATTATGAAGCATAGCTATTGAATAATAAAACTTAAAAAAGAGTACGCCAATTATGCCCCATCCCTTGTGTTTGTTATGGCAGACTCTAGGGTTCTAGCCAGTATCAACTAGGAGCTGCGGCTCCTGTCTGACATGAGCATGAACTGTAAGTGCTGTCAGACAGTGAAATTGCCACAAGTTTCAACAGCATCGATGTTATCGTTAATAATTGTGACATTAGATATCTGTGGTTCAATACAATGAAGGTTTAAGGTATCTCGCTCCACTAAAATTTTTACTTTGTTTTGCTTTAGGCATTCATGTTTTGCTTTTGTTCTGGACGATATCAACTTTAAACATGACCAGCAACGTCATAATGTCTCTCGACCTTTTTCCCAAACAAAGATTACAATTGACGTTTACAGCCAAATTCATGCATATATATATATATATATATGATGGAAAAAGAGATCTCCACTTTTCTTTTCTTTTCTTTTCTTTTCTTCGGCCCTTTTCCATGACTGATGATTGCAATTGTTCCTTTGCATGCATGTGAAATTAGAGCTAATAGACATCTTTCATATGAATTATTGATTGGTTAGGCAACGACATGTCTTGAGTCAAGAGTATTCAGAAATTGACACCACGATACGTGGTGGTCTCCTTGTCACCTTGCGGTTCTGAATTGTATCTAATCAACACTTGGGGTTGCCCCACATTTCTGAGACATATCAAAGATTTATTATGACCTAATATATTTCTTAAGGGAATGGTTTCATAGCTGTCAATTCAGGAAAACCTAGCTAGGGTGACTCCACCATTGTTTTTTCCTTTGGACTTCCGCGTTTGACTATGTACAGGCAACCTGTTTCACCTGTACATTTCACTCAATTATTTTTAATACTAAAAACTAAACGTAAAACAGTGTTTTCTTATAACACGACATTATCTTGTGACGAAAATTTTTTATTAACTTTTCCAAAAGTTATGTTGGTTAAAGCTGGCACAACATGTCGTCCACCAGGTCTAGAGAGTGTTGGAAGAGTATCAGCTAGCGCCTTAATGGAACGTTATAAGTAATCATCAAATTTAGACAATGGTTGGCCGCAAAAACTAGACCTCTTTAATTATTTGAACTTGAAACTATTTCTATATTTAGATGGAATAATTGTTTTAGCATTATTTTTGTGACCAATTAAGCGATGATTGTTTATAAAATGCTGCATGTCTTTTAACTTTTAAGCAAGACATGGTGTTGACAGGCACATGAGATGCATAGGGCCTCAAGTTCCAGTCATCCTCTCCTCCCAGTCAGACGAGTTAATTTCAAACTCATGAAAAAAGAGATTAATTTGTAGAATTAAACCCTCAAAATGAATTCTGAAATTATATATTGTTTTGGAGTAAAGGTCAAAAAATATATGGAAACCATAGATTTAAGTGCTTTGTGTTGATAGGTGTCATGCTTGTTTATCTTGGTTCCTGGCAGCCTAAATTATTGGAGTACTAAATAGAAAGGTATAAACCTATTTGTTCCAAAAACTGTTCAGTTTTCTGAGATGAAAAAGGATCCGAGCTACACAAGTAATAAATATTAATTCCAAGTCTAACTGCTATTTCTTTGTATAGTTTAAATGTTGGTATGTAACCTAGTAGAGCAGAAGAAAATAAAGATAAAGCCAACAAGGAGAACAACAGGGAAGTACAATTGCAGCCTAGTGATTATGATATTGGCATACATTGAACGTTTTCGAAATTGAAAAGAGCCTAACAATTTGAAAGTATGGGCTCAAGGGATTTGCAATTGGGGAGAGAGCCCATGCAAACAAATCCTGGGCCATTATCCTGCTCACAAGTAGTTGGGGATTTGATGTTCGCAGGAGAGGAAAAGAAACGTTGCAGTTCAAAATGTGCTTATCGTGCAATGGAATTCACTTCACATGGATGCCTGACTGTGGATGACCACATTTGCCAAATGAGTAGCTGTCAGAATTTTAAGTATTCTTAAGGGAATGTTAAGTACTCAGACCATTTGAAGAGAGAAACTAGTAGAAAAAATGAAAGAAGATTACAATTGCATTAACAGTTTTTGGTATTGTGAAATACATGTTAAAGCAAATAGAAAGCAATAAAGAAGGGAAACACTTAAGCACTAAACGTGTGTGTTGTGGGTAGTTCCTTTACATCATGGCCGGTGGGCACACAACATGCAGCCACTAAGAGAAATAAAAGAAAAACAAAAACAAACTGAAAGCTACTCTAAACCAGCAACTTAGTGGCGTCATGTGGAGATTCGAACCCTGCTTCTAGCACCATATTCTGCAACTTGAGACCTCCATTTCAACAGCAGCTCCACGAAATGTGGGACATAATGGTCCTCGCCCGCTTGTATCTTGTTAATAGCCCATCAGAAAAAGACGGCTCCTCCTGGGACGGACGGATCCTCATCTTCCATGGACCAAACGATCAAACCGGGCATCTGACAATTTGAACTCTTTTTTAAGTTTTGATTGCAATTATGTGTTTTGGTCTTATCAGATTATGACTCTGCAAACTCTATTGGTGAGCAGATGAATCAAGAGGAAAACTAAACATCAACCATTGGCCCCTGGGACTATACAATAACTACAAAATGCAACTACCAGGGAAACCTGTAACATTTGAACGCGAGAATCTGCGGTGTTTCGGAGGATGGATTAGAGCTGTTGGTTGAGATATGGTCCATTGGGCCAAACAAGCCCAAATACTACTTCCAATTCTGTGGCTTTTGTCAAGACACCAAGCAACACCTTAGACATGATCATCCAAAACAACATATACACGCAATAAAGAGAGCTTTTCCTCATGCGCAGGCTCATCATGGACACACGCACGTGACATTTGGGAAAAAATCATATATAAAGAAACAGGATGTCCTAAATATTCTGCTTTCATGCTAAATCAATACCATAAGTATTTTGGGATTTAAGGGGATAGCTAAGTACCACTACAAGAACTGTGAATGAACATATTTGTTTGCGCCGCGTATGTTCGTTCATGCAGTTAAACAGTGGTGAAAAGGGAAACATCCATGTTCTAATGTGAGAACCACAATGATTAAAATGGACGAAATCCATGTTCTAATGATGTACTGGGAGCGCTTGACTTGAGCATCACTTGAAAACTCTCCCAAAGATCACACCGATGGGAAGAACTTGTTGAGATTGAAGGGCAAGCGATAGAACTCCTCGCTTCTTGTATCTGTTCTGAACGATCGGAACCTGTCCCACCAGTGCATGCCACGATCCTTCCTAGTCGTACTGTCTTTCCGGTGCAATGTGACATCAAGGATCATCGCCAATAAACCAGCAACAAATGCCTCAGATGAGAATGGCACGTTTATCATGTCATTGAACTGCCAAAAGGAGATTTAAAGTTAAAAAGAATCACTTGTTCTGTCCAAGGGGTTCGAAATTGAGTCGTGAAAAAGGAAAAAATGAATGAGAGAGTTACCCATCTGGCTCCAGTGTGAACTGGACCATAACCATTAACTGCTGTGTACTCGTTGAAGTACTGTGGTATGGACAAACCCATGAAAACAGAGAAACCTAATATAAACTTCGTTCTGAAGCTGTTTAAATTACAGAATTGAAGGAAGCCGAGTCCCGCAGAACCTGAACATATAATTAGAAAAATGTTGAATTACTTTAATCTTGAAGGGAGCAGCCAAAATAAGCTGATTCAAACAGGACTTACCCACATACGCAAAGAAAAGACAATATAAAGCTGCAATAATTGGAGATGGTATTGAAGCAAACACAGCTCCAAATTTTCCTGATCAAGAATGGATGTTAGACGCATATGAGAGAGAGATAGATAGAGAGAGAGATTGCCATTTGAAACTGACCAAGAATGGAGAAGAAGATCATGAACCCTGCAGATATCTGGACAACTCTTCGACTGCCTACACGTGTCAGTGCCAACAAACCAGCATTCTCACTACATCAAATGCAAGGAAAGTTTATGTGACTTCTCTCATTTTCGAGAAAAGGAAAAGAAAAAAGCATAATACAAAGAATCAATGTTCACAAGTAGTTGATAAACAAATATTATTTTCTTGTACGTGGCTAATTTCACACAAGAATCTTACACAGAAACAGACGATCCATTCCCAGTTCCAAATATCCCAGAGAAGAGAATGCCAACTCCCTTGGATTAAAACAAAACAAGGCGAATTACAAGGGGAATTGAAAAGAAAATGAAAAAACCAGCATCAAATGAACCTGCAGTTACAGATGTTTACAACTTTAGGCATGGCTTATCGAGTGATATCTTTCAGACCAAGAATATTAGTGAAATAAAGGTTTAAGTCCATATAAAAGTCATTTTGGTGAAGCTTTACACCCAGGCATCTATAATCTGTACTCTAACATGTTTGACTGTCAAGCAACTTGATTTGTACTTTTGCCATTTATAGAAATTTATCCTTTTATGACCACATATACATGTATAAAGGTAATCGATCATAAAACTTTTTACCTGCCAACCAATACCACGGCTAAGAATGGAAGGGGGCAATGGAGTTGCACTTGCATATCTTGAAACGGCAATGAAGACACCAGTAGACTGTTTAATCATAAGCACATTAGAGCAAAGAACATTTCACGATTATAAGCAAGGCTGCACTGGCTAAGAAATGAGTTCTTTCAAATTTAGCAGACAATTTCATCTTTATACACTAAATATTGCATTAAGATATAGCTTTTTCCAATGGTGTTAAAAATAGGGTTATGAGCAGAAAAGAGTTACCAGTACAATCAATTAAATGATTATAGATTATCATCTCATTTGTCATCAAACTAGTGTACAAACTGAAACCATATGCTGCAAGTATTCAGACAATAAATACACATGAATAGCCAAAAATTTTGAAATGGTAACCCAGATTATAAACACAAGTAGCATACCTCTACTAGAGCAACAAATGAAGCTGCCATCATAGCAAAAGCTTCACCAGCATCAAATGAGGGAGCTCCCCATTGAAAAGGATATGGGACTCTTATCCTGTTCACAAGTGTTGTATAATAACAATGAGCAATGATCAATTAAAAGTGCATTCTCATTCTTAGACACAGCAACACACACAAGCTTCAAGTATCCATCAAAAGAATAATGAATGCCTCAGATAATTAAGATAATTTTTTATGCATTGAACTTATGACAACTTTAAGGGAAATGCTTTTTGGTCAAAAAGCCACAATTTTTTAGGCAATTTGATAACTGCTAGGATCCATATCACAATAGGATCATATTGTCTTGGGAAGGAACAAACATAAGTGCCTTACCAAGGGGCAGCGCCTATAATCCCAGCACGATCAGTTCGGCAGCTCAGTTGAGTTTTAGGTCCTGTGTTCTTATATGCCCCACCAACAGTAAGCAGGTGAGCGTAAATCCAAACAATCACAACTGAGAATATGACAGCAAAGCGGTCAAACACATGCCGCTCCCCATGTATCATATGAGGTATATACTGCAAAAACTCACCCAGGTGATTGTTACTATTTAACAAATTTTTCATGTAAGGTCAAGTATTGACCTTCTCTGGTGTCACTACTGCTGCAAAAAGAAAGATGTATCTGCCAATCAACAGAAAAAATTACCTGTGAAAAGATTAAGAGAAGGATGATCTGTGGTAGTCCAATCTCTATGCATTTGGCAAGCTACAAAACAAATAGCCAGACTTAAGAAAAGAAAATGAGCAAGAATGTGGAGCAGTTTTATATGAAATATTCATTCCACTGGAAGACATTCATACATACCACAGGAAAACCAAATTCATAGAGCCCAAAGCCAGACAGAGCAACCAGGGGAACAGCAGACAGGGGACTTAAGAACCTGGAAAAGCATTGAAAGATATAAAATCTAACAGAACAGTTTTTAGGGAGCTATAAAAGAAACCGCAGCTAATCTCCAATTAAACACGTTTATGACTGGGTTTGGAACGAAATATGGTGGCGTGTGTATTAAATTGAACATGCCAATTGAATATAGTAGTCTCACAGTAACTTGCATTTTGCCTACAACCAAAGAAGCCTAACTTGACAAGCCCAAAAAGCATGCAAATTAAAGATTATTTAATCAACATCATCATACAAAACCTTCTTTCTTCTTGAAGAGTAGCACA